TCCTATGATTTTTGTCTTTCTCTGACTAATTTCGCTTAGCATAATACCCTCCATTTTCATCCACGTAGTTGCAAATGGCAAGATTTCACTCTTTTTGATTGCTGAGTAATGCTCCATTATATATATATACACCGCAACTTCTTTATCCATTCATCCGTCGATGGACATTTGGGCTCTTTCCATACTTTTGCTATTGTTGATAGTGCTGCTATAAACATGGGGGTGCACGTGTCCCTTCGAAACAGCAAGATAAATGCCTAGTAGTGCAATTGCTGGGTCGTAGAGTAGTTCTATTTTTCATTTTTTGAGGAACCTCCATACTGTTTTCCAGAGTGGCTGCACCAGCTTGCATTCCCACTTCCAGACCTTTTTCTACATATCTTTATATATACCGGTTTTTAGAAACAAATGGCATATGTTAGATACATATTGTTTTGTATGCAATGTTCTATGAATTTTTTCACCATTTCTCATTTGTGTTACTACATAAAGATTTACTTCTTTGTTTTTAATATTCTCTTGGATGGATGTGCTGTAATTCATTTAACTGTTTCCTTATTGATGAATATTTAGATTAGTATTTCCAGTATTTTGTTAGAGATTTTTCATTCAACAAATGTTTATTTGACTGTCGGGCAGTGCTAGTGAAAAAAACACAAAAATTTCGGCTCTCATGTAGTTCCCTTCTTTTGGAGGTGGCCAGGCAGTAAATGAATAAATAAGTCAGATGCTACTGAGGACTCTGAGGCAGAGGAGATCGGGAGTGCTGGGAGTGGGGTGTGTGCCTGTTAACATAGGTAGTCAGGAAAGGATTACCTGCAGGTGACCTTTGAGTAGAGCTCTGTTGAAGGTGAAGTATTGTGCTCTGAAGCTCCTGGTGGGGGAGAGGCATTCTAGGGAGGGAAGAAGAAGCACAAAGGCCCTGAGGTAGGGGCATACCTGACGTGAAAGAGCAATGAGGCTGTTATGGCCTGAGTGGAATGAGGAGATGAGGTCACAGAGGAGGTAGCAGAGAGGGCTTTTTAGGCCACTGTAAGTAAGGAGTTTGTCTTTTATTATTTTTTAAAATTTTTACTTAAAATTTTGTTTTTTTATTTTAGAGAGAGCCCGCACATGAGCAGGGGAGAGGGGCAGAGGGACAGAGAGAATTTTAAGCAGGTTCCATGCTCAGTGCAGAGTCCGACGTGGGGCTCAATCTCATAACCCTGGGATCATGACCTGAGCTGAAATCGAGTTGGACCCTCAACTGACTGCCACCCAGGTGCCCCAGATTTTGTTTTTTATTGAATGAGGTGTGGTGAACCTTTGAATGGAAATTTCCTAAACTATCAGAATGGAAACAAGGAGGTCATTTAGGAGGCTACTGCAACAATCTGGGCAAGATACAGTGATGGCTTGAATTTACTTGGATCAGGGTGGTCTCAATAGAAATGGTAGGATGTGGTTGGATTCTAAATATGTCTTAAAGCTAGGGTGAAAGAGAAGAGTCAAGGACCACTCTGTAATTTTAGGTCTGAACAATTGGGAAGGTGGAGTTGGAAACACTACAGTAGGCAAGATTTGGCTTTGGGCACATTACATTTGAGAATCTATTAACATCAACCAGAGGTATTGAGTAAGCAGTTGGAAATATGATTTGGAGTTCAGTGGGGAGGTCAGGGTTGGAGATAAAGACCTGGGAGTCATCAGTATATTAATGCAATTTAAAGCCCTGAGCTCACCTAGTGAGTAAATTAGAGAGGAAAAGAGAATCAAGGACGCCTGTGGGCATTTCAAGGATAAGAGGCTGAGGATATGAGAAGGATGCTGCAAAGGAGACCAAGAAAGCAGCCACAAGGTAGGAGGGAAATCAAGAAAATGTGATGCCAAGGAAATGAAGAGAGTGAACAGTGTCAAGTGATGAGAACTGGGAATTGACCATTGAATTTAACAATGTGGCTGTGTGGATGACCTTGACGAGAGCAATTTGAATGAGAAGGAGGGGGCCGGATTGTGGCCGAATCAAGAAAGAATGGAAGGAGAGGAATTGGGACTGTTAGTGTAAGCACCTGTTTTGAGGGTTTGTTCTAAAAGCAATTGGAACTGTTATTATAAGCACTTCTTTCAAGGATTGGAAAATGAGGCTTTTGCTGGAGGGGGATATGAAATCAAGATATTTCTTTTGTTGTCAAAGATGGAGAAATAAAATGTTGTAAGCTTATGGATAATGATGGAGCAGAGGGAAAAATTGATGCAAGAGAAAGTGGGAGAGATTGAGAGAAGAGTTCAAGGAGTGCATTTTAATAAATTTGTATGTATGTATACAGAAATTTCTCTAAGCTAGATTCTTAAGAGGATTTCCTGAGTCAAAGGGTATGTATGTTTAAAATATCTGTACCAGTTTATATTCCACCTTCATTGTATACCCTTGCCAACATTGAACTTTGCTAATCTTTAAAATTATTGCCAGTCCAATGGGTGATACTTTTTTAATTTGTAGGAATTCTTTATAAAATTGAACTAATCCTTTTTTATATTCTGGGAAATATTTTCTCCCATGCTCTTTCTTGCCTTTTAACTTTGCTTACGGTATACTTTTACCATGTGGATTTTTTTTTCTTCCAGTTTTTATGTAGTTAAGTCTGTCATTCATTTCCTTTCATAGCATTTGTGTTTCATTTGGATTATGTAAATATTTTATATAATCTTTTAATAAGTTTATACGTTTGCCTTTTTAATTCATCTGGAGTTTATTTTTGTGTGTGTTATGAAATAGGTATCAAAGTTTTTCATCTTTTTTTGTGTTCTTAAACAGTTAAATACTGTAAGAAGTAACTGTTGCTTAAAGGTTTAAAAGAAAATACCTAGATCTTCTAGGCTTGGAGCCTTTTTGAAGGGTAGATCTTTGACTTAAACATTTTCTTAATAATCTATTTGGTTTATGTACTTCCTTTTAGGTTAATTTCAGTAACTGATTTTGTTTTCCCTCAGCACCACATTCTTTTCAGCCAGATTTTCAAATTCATTGGCTTAAAATTCTACATAAAGAGAAGAAATATAAGTCTTCTTTATATTTGCAATATATCCTTTGTACTTACACCTGTATTTGGGCAGCAGATGCTGGAACCTTTCACAGCTCTAGAGATTGGTTTAGCTGTTTTCAGCCCTCATGGCCCAGCTCTTATCTTATTGCCCTTCATCTTGGGGTTATTCTTACATTGTCCTTCTCTCTCTCTCTCTCTGTAGGGGATTTCTGGCTTCTTGGATTGCTTTCCTATCACTCTGGTCCCATTTGCTCTTTAGCTTACAAAAATTTGTACTGTTGAAGTCTGCTCATGGATACATGCCCTTCTTGGTTTCCAATATTACTATGGACTTATTTTTATATTTCTTCTGGCATTTTGGAGAGTTTTGGGGAGGGATCAGAGGCAAATGTAAATTTTCAGTTAGCTTTTTGAAATAGGAAGTCACAATTCCTTCCTGTGGGGTTTTCTTTTATCAGAGTTCTTTGTTTAATTGCTGGTTGCACAGTAGTTAGAGTGTAATTTTACAGCACAAGTAGTGATCATCAGATGGATTTCACCTTCTTTTTTTTAAGTGAAACCAGATGTCTCAGCAGAATATACTTGTTGAATGGAAATGTTGATATATTGTCACTAAATATTCCAATAGTACTTTTTAAAGTTGTGACATAGGCATCATAACATTTAGAACTATAAGGGACTTTACAGATCATTAGACCAACTGTCTTATTTTATGGATGAAGTAGTTGAGGCCCAGAGACTTTTCAGTGATTTATCTAAGGTGACAAAGTCAGTAATCAAGCAAGACAGAAAGCCCAAGTCTCTTTACTTCAATTCTGCTATGTTTTGCTCTTTCACACATTCTTGGTGGTTCTACTTAGCTTTGTAATACGAAAGAGGTATTTTCAGCTAATAAACTTTTTTTAAACCTAAAGATGATACGTATGGCTTGGGATTGCTTCTGAAATTTGGTCTTAGATATCATATTAAATGCCTTGATGTGGATTTTGTTTTTTCTCACATAGATATTATATATTAAGATATAAATGTGAATTTTAAAAGAATGGGCTGTCAAGGTATACTCTGGCCTAAATGAAAACCATATAGTTTATTCCTCTGAAGTTTCCTCTTTTCTGCTGTGATTAATGGACTCTTTGAATTTGTTATTAATATTTTAAAGAGGCTTAAAGAATATATATATAGGCTTCAAAATGATTTTAGTGATAGTCATAAGATAATTCAGACCAAGGTTTTCTAATTTTTTAGTTTAACATACCATGCTGCTAGATCAACATCTAAATTTATGGTGCGCCTGAGTGGCTCCGGCGGTTGAGCGTCTGGATGAGTGTAGGACTTCAGCTCAGGTTATGATCTCGTGGTTCGTGGGTTTGAGCCCCCCGTGTCAGGCTCTGTGCTGACGGCTCAGAGCCTGGAGCCTGCTTTGAATTCTGTGTCTGCCTCTCTCTCTGCCTCTGGGCTGTTCACTCTCTCTCTCTCTCTCTCTGTCTGTCTCTCTCTCTCAAAAATAAACATTAAAAAAAATTTTTTTTTAATTTAAAAGGGCTAAAATATATGTTTTTGCCCTACTTGTGATTTTTCAGCAACCATAGAGATAGGATATACTCATCATACTTTCATTGCTTTGATGGGTTTTTAACTTGAACAGAAAGTTTTTTAAATGTAGGACTTTGATTAATGATAATCCATGTTTGGTGGTCATGTCTTTTATTCTTGACAAACATTGAGGCTCTAATATGTACAGCATTAGTGGACTTGGGTGGGTTCTCTTCTCCCCTTGCCCACCTCAAACAATTTGAGGAGGGGAAGTTTGAAGGCAGTTGCTCTAGAATTATATTCTAAGAAGATTTGTTTACTTATCTTCAGGTTTTACCTCTTGTAGCACTTTTTAAACACGTGATACGACGTATTGATTTTGTTTTTGTAAACTAAAGAGCAGTCTGTCTCCCATGAATTCTAAGAATTTAATTTTTTTTACAGTTGGTCATAATGGCAGGTGAAGAAATTAATGAAGACTACCCAGTAGAAATTCATGAGTATTTATCAACATTTGAAAATTCCATTGGTGCTGTGGATGAGATGCTGAAGACCATGATGTCTGTTTCTAGAAATGAGTTGTTGCAGAAGGTATTTTAAAAATGTAATTTAGAAAACACAGTGCTGTGTTATGAAAACATACAGAAGACATAGATTAGCGATGTGCTCCTTTTCCCCTTTATTTCAAGTGTTTGGGTATTTTTAAGGGGAAAAAACAAACCAGAACTTCAACTTTAGGAAATACTTCCTAACTATATTTTTATTTTGACGTGGTTTTGAGAAAAAAAGGAGCACTCAAAACGTTCTTTTTGACAGACTCTGTCTTTGACCTTTTAAGTATTACAATGATGTTATCAGAGTTTCTGGAAACCCTATAGGACAAAAAGAGTAAATTGACTTTGACAGTCTAAAACAAATCTCATTATGTTTCTTCTGTCTTTGGTATTGCCTAAGCATTTTAGCCTGCCTCTTATACATAAATGCATCATGTACAGTGTTTACATTGATAAATTACTTTTGACATACAAAGCCCAGATCATAACTCCTGAAATTAAAATAATTGAAAAGAATTTTTCTTGGATTATACATATTCTTTGTCTAACTAAAGATGATACCTCGAAGTGAAAATTTGTGGGCAAAAATCCCTGGTTAACAATTTTTTTTTTTGCAAATTATTTCAAGATCATTTGGTTATTGGATTATAGGAAGTGAAAGAAACATCTCTTTGATACATTGTATTTGGTGAAAGTTTAAAATATGTGATGTGTTCATTGTATGTACTTCTTTTCTCTCTCTCTTTTTTAATTAAATAGTTGGACCCCCTTGAACAAGCAAAAGTGGATTTAGTTTCTGCTTACACGTTAAATTCAATGTTTTGGGGTATGTATATTAATTTGGAGTTAATTATGAAGCAAATTATTATGTCAAAGGTGATTTCTTTTTTAAATGCTAGCAATTTATATATTGTTATACTTCATGGCAATTTTTATAGTCAGATATTTATTTCTTTTAAATCAGAATATCAGATGTCCATGAGCCGCATAAAATTTAATATTACATAGAGGTTAAATAAGATATAATTTATCATTTTTTTGTGAGTAACTAGAGTTTCTTTAACTAATGCTCGCAATTAATATATATGCCATTTTGTTCCATGAAATCTTTGTCTTGTAGTTTATTTGGCAACTCAGGGAGTTAATCCTAAGGAACATCCAGTAAAGCAGGAATTGGTAAGATTGCAGTGGATTTCTTTTTATTTGACTGTTTGTTGTGGTATTCCTGAAGTCAGAGTCATAGTACTTTATCACACTAGTTGTGGAGAACAAAATTATATAGAGTCCTAATTATGAAAGTGAGCCAGATTTCATCATGTCTTTAGTTTTTCTTTTCTTTGCCTTTGTCAGAGAATTTGTGTTCCATATATTATATAAATCTCTGGATGGGAGAACGTTACGATTCAAGTAATTATTTATAACTTCCATATTATTTATTCTATAAATTCTTGAAATCCTGTTCATCTCTACAACTGCTCCCCCCCCCCCCCCCCCCCCTTTTTTCTAAACTCTTACACAATTCTTAAAAGTATATTCTAGTTGATTTACTAGCAAAGACGGGAAAGTTTCTCCCCCACCTTTTCAATTCTTCCATTAATTCATTTTCTCAGCAGTAAAGAATCCAGTTCAGCAACAAAGCTAAAAGCTTTTTTGGCACCAGTTGTATGTGTACTGTCCAGTAATTCTGCATTAGTGACATATTTACAACCTGTAATAAATCTTCTAGGTTTGTCTTTGTATTCCATTTAGATGTATAAGTACAGTATATAAGGTCTAGTATCTTGAAGTTTTTGCTGACTTCAAAAATTAAATCATTCAATATGAAAGAAAAAATTAGAAATCAAACTTATGGTTACCTTCTTGACTTGGCTTTATGAATAAGAATATTAATACATTTATTCTTTGTGTTTATAAAATACAAGATAAATATGTGAAATACACTTGACACTGTATTATTATTTTTAAGTCTTAAGGTGTTGATATGTATGTTATTTACAACTTGCTAGAGTACTTGGTCATTTACAAAAAAAATGAGTAAACCAGAGCTCTTGTCTTAATTTTATAAAATAGGGAGTAAGACACGTTCTTCTTTTAAAGTTCTTGGGGGGAAAAACAAATTTATTTTTAATGTAGAAATTGTGAAAAATACTTACAGCAAAAATGTAAAACTGTATGAGGCACGGATCTTGATTTGACCAGTGGTACTGGCTTTAAAATCTTAAGGAGGGTGCACTGTATGTATCATCTGTTTTCAATTTTCTGATATGGACTTTACATTTGTAAAGTTCCTCATTTTTCCTTAACACAAAGTTATTTGTAGTATTTTAATACTTGATTCTTTCATTGGAAAAGGATAAAATTATTATCTTTTTTCTCCATCAGAACCCACTTTATGGAGGAGTACATTCATATTCTGGACGAGAGTTGGCACATAAAAAAGCATACATAAACCTATTCCCCTTTTCTGACCTTGTGACAGACATCACTAATTGATCACAGAGTCAGCGTGTGAGAGGAAATCTATTTGTCATGTATATCATGAATGGGGAAGGGCATTGCAAATAGTCAGTTTATTTATTCAACAAATAATTGAGTGCTTACTGGAAGCCAGGCATTATATCCAAGTAAGATGATTCCTCTGTAAATAAAGCTGATAAATACCACTGCCCTTGCAGCAGATGCCAGTCTATCTAGTGGAGGGAGACAAGCATTTAACATAATAAGCAAATAATAAATATATGTGGTATGTAGTATGTTAGAAAGTTATAGCTTATGGGGGAAAAAAAATAGCGTAGGGTAAGGGGGATTGGAGTGCTTGAGTAGGATTCCATTTTAAGTGGTAAAGGCAGCGCCTGTTAACGAGATTAACGTTTGAACCAACTGGAAGGGAGAGAGGGAGTGGTTATGTAGATATTTGGGGACGATAACTCCAGGCAAGGCTGGAGTGGGTCTGTGTTGGGAAGACTTGGGCTTTTACTCTGAGAGAAATAGAAAACCATAAGAGTATTTTGAGCAGAGTGGTCAGCCTTTCACAATTAAAAAATTCTAGGGGTCTGCATTTTTCTGTGTAAATTTCTGTAACTATTTTGATTATTTTAATGAAACTTGCTTTTCATCAGTGATCACTCATTTACTATGCTATTTTATGGCTCTCATCCCCTTTATTTAAATTTTCCAGTCAAAGTATAGAATAGCCCTTTATTCTGATTAATGGTCTCAGAAGATTCGAAGTGATATGGCACAACCTATTCTGTTTTTCACCTTGTAAAGTCTGATTAGAACTATAGTTTTCATCAGAAAGTATTGTGTGCTTATTGATCAAAAACTATGAAATTGAACAAAAGATTTTGTATTTTCATTTTGCTTATTTTAATTGTGATACTAGAAAGTAAAATAAAAAAATAGTTAAGTACTACTTCATCCATTTCCTGTTTAGAAAAATTTCCAGTTTAATTTGTATGCTGCAAGTATATGAGAGCTCTATTTTAGATTATAGACTTCAGATACGTAAGAGTTATTATGTGCATTTAGGTTAATGCTAAGTTAAATATATAACCACACATAAAGAATTCAATGTTTATCTCTGTAGTGATGTCTTAGTCTAGTTCTCCCTCTTTTGAAACATCAAAACACTTCTGAAATGACTTTTTAGTGTCTATTCCCCCCCAGACTATGAACTCCAGGAGAGCATGGAGCATGTTTATCCTATTCACTTGCACTTACTATCACCACTCAATAGGCAATAAATACATATCTGTTGAATTTAACTGAGGTATAGTATAATAAAACTTAGTGGTGGTGAACAGCTTAGTAAATCTATTGCTTTCTTTTCTTCTTTTTTTTTAATCTTTAAGGAAAGAATCAGAGTATACATGAACAGAGTCAAGGAAATAACAGACAAGAAAAAGGCCGGCAAGCTGGACAGAGGTGCAGCTTCAAGATTTGTGAAAAATGCCCTTTGGGAACCAAAACCTAAAAATGCATCCAAAGTTGCCAATAAAGGAAAAAGTAAAAATTAGCCTTTTAGTTTTGATGTACACCTATTGAAAAAGTACATCATTTTTATTGTTTTCCACAAAATAGATGATTATGTGGCAATACAAGGTTTAAATGTATTCCTTATTGAATTCATATATAAAATTTACATTTTAAATTTGTAATGCTGAATATTTTTTCCCCAGAAAGATTGTTATCTTTATTGATTTTCCTATAGACCACTATGAGATTTTTAACACTGTGGTATATTTTATATTTATAGTTTATCATCTTTCTTGACAAGACTCTTATTTCCCTATACAGGTCAATCTTTCAAGTACCATTTTATAAGCAACTATGAAATTTAAGTTAAATGTTTTTTGTAAACATTTGTCTATTTTAAATGAATAATGACTTTATGAAGTATGCTATCTGAAGGCTGAAGTTATAAATACATCTGTTTTCACTATATAATATTAAGAGAATGAAATGACTTAAATGTCCATTTTTTTCTATGTTGTTACTTCATGTTTTCATGATTTTGGGAATTACTATTTTCTTTTGATATTTGAAGTGTGAAATTAAGACTTTAAGGTTATATTTTTATTCTTGGCAATTTGCCTCTATGTCCCATTTAAGGTAAAATATATTCTCATTAACTTCAGATGGGAAATGAGGTTGTATATTGATGGCTGAATTTTGGCATAATAGCTATATCCTATCAATAAAGGCTGTAAAGTTTGTATAGCTGACTGTTTATTTTTCTCTTTTGTATAAATTTGCCCTTGAAATTAGGAAGATAGGTTTTAGAAATCATTAGGAATAAATTCATGAGTTTTTGTTCCTTCTGCATTATGGCCATAGTTCTCTTGGTCTCACTTTTTCAGATTTTTGGATTACATGTTTTTGAGGTGATATCAAGTACATACAAGTATTTTGAAACAACTTCCTATGTTATATAATGCCACTTAAGGGGAAGAGAAATCCAGAAGAGATTATATTGTGTTTATATCCTGATTTATTTTTCTGGAATATTTGTCACAGAGAATTATATGTATTAAATTTTTTTTAATGTCTAAGTCCTTGAACTTTAATTATATGCTCTTAATGCTTTCAGTCTTTGAGTCCACATCATTATGTATAGGAATGCCAAGTACAGTAAAGTACTTTAATTTTTGAAAAAGAAGTTGTTAAAATTTTCTGTGTGATTAATTCTCCATAAGTAACCTTGAATAAATGGATTTCTTGATTTATGGTATAAGATATTGGAAACGGTCTTAAAATGTAATGGATTTTGTAAAGCATGTTGAACTCTTTCTATGACACATGAAGAGGAAGTCACTGATAGATGCAGAGTCTTTTGGCTCAGTTGTCAGACAGTTTTTGAAGTGGAAGAACATTTATAGTTATTTCATTCCTTCTTTCACCTTCATCCTCTCAAATTTTGAGCTTTTTTGAAAAGTAACTTCTTCATGACAGAAATAAATGTTCTTATGACCAAGTGTAATATATATGTGTTGTTTATTACAAAGGAACTTATAACTTGAATTTTTGTATATTTTCTAATTTCATAAAGAAAAAAGTTAAATGAAAAATGTCATACAGTTACAGAAAATCATTAACCAAGTTATTGGTTTGTGAAAATCCAACTTTTAAATTCTGTTAAGTTGGAGTTTCTTAGTGAATAATTCTTTCAGTGTTTTATTTAGTAGAAATAAACAGTTTGAGCATATTCCATTTTAGTATGTAGAATTTGAAATACTTATTACCTGGCACATAATAAGGAGCTGAATGGTAGTAGTGCAGCGGGTTTTATTTTCATTTGTTGTTTATTCATTTCACAAATATTTAATGACATTTATTTACATTGCCAAATACGATGCTAGGTCCCACGGAAGACAACTCAAGCCTTTATTCTACTTTTATAAAGTGTTATGAAAGAAGTAGTCTTTTTGTTCACTTTTTCAGAGTTACTAGAAAATTTATGACAAATTGTGCTCATTAACCTTAGTCAGAACCATAAAGGGTGATGGGTTGATCTATTTGACTATGGTACAGTTATTGTTAACATAGTTTTTTCCAAATGACAGTCTGCTCTAAGTTTAGATGTTAATCACATCTTTTATTACTCTCTTTGGGAATTAACAAGTTGGAGAGGTTATAGCTATAGATATTTTTAAGATTAGAATTATAGACTATTAATCTAATACTAAATAATGAGATTTCGTTTTTTAATATTATTTTAAGTACAATTTTCTTGTTTCATAGTTGCAGGATGGGAATTCATTTTAGTAAAGTAGAATATGTTAAGAGGAAAATTGAAGGATGAATTATGGTTTACATTCCTGGAATTAGGAGGTTATGTCAAGTTGATTGGTTTTTAAGATACCCTGCAGATTAAAAAATTGTTCTACTTAGCTATTAGAAATGGATTGGTATTATTTCTAAATAAGGCTTTTAAAATTGACTAGAAATGTAGGAAATGTTTCAAAAATGGACATTGTATTGAATATAGATACTTATTTCTTAAGTAGGTCATTCAAGGAAACGATGCTCTAGGAATCACTCAGTTTATGATATAGTTAAACTATGATTTTACGCAATAAATTATCAGAAATTCGGCTTTACAAAGTGACATTAACTGAGAAAGATTTTGAACAGTGATTCTGACCCTCATGTAATAGCTAAGTTTGGTATATAAATGGAAGAAAAGGAAGCACTGGCATCTCATTTTCTTCCCTCATAGCATAGTTCATAAACTTGCCTGGATCAATTCAGTGGCTCTTTTACCAAATGACCTTGGTAGCAACCTATTTTATATAAATGTGATTTGAAGGTACTTTACTAATAAAAACATTTCCTTTTCCCTGTATCCTGGTCTAAAACTCTTTGGTTTTGGAAATACAAACCACATTTTGTTTATTTTATATATTAGTATTTTATAGTTGTCATTAACAATTATGTTAGGGGAAAAAGTATACAGGACTTTATAATAGAATTTTGTAGACTTGTTCTACTTGGTTAATTTGCTGTTGCTTGTGAGCAGGATTTCAACAAAATGCTTTGAATGGTTTTGGTTTGCAGAAATGTTTTCCTATCAGTGAGCTGCCATAGACTACTCTTTGGAGCAGCCACCCTCTGACGTGATGTGCCTTTTTAAAGTGTTTATTTTATGGCATAATTTTTAATATAGCTAGGAAGGATTGGTAAAGTTATCTAGAAAAGGGGATAGCTACAGTGATATGTGTTGGCAATTGAGGTTTAATTTTAATTCTGCACCCCGCCCCCCACCCGGGGCCAAAAACCGAAACCAACTTAGCTCTGTATTATTCATCTGTTCATAAAAGGTTGAGAAAAGATGCTACCTCCCTCCCCTCCCCCCATAAGCCTGGAAGTTAAGCAAATGTATCCTGGCAGAATAACTGCATGCAAGATGTCAATTTTGTCAAGTGATATATTTCAGACAGTGTACAAAATTTGATGGTGGGAAAAATAAGCTTTTATAAATGAAACATTTAAGAGACTTTTTTATTATTTGCTTTCAGTTTAGTGTTGCCTTTTAGGTGCACCATTTCAGTTTGGCAGCTACAATAAATGAAGGAAATTGAAGATGATAATTCAACATTTCAAGATGCTTCTGCTGAAATGAATGTAGACCTATCCAGAATTTATAGTAATACAGTTTTTTAAAGCCAAGGACCCAGGAAACGCTATGATTTGAATGAGGTGATTAGAAGAAATATAAAATATCTTCAATCCCTTGTTATGTAGGCATTATCTATTGAGAGCCTATGTTGAAAATGTTAGTGTAAGAAGAATAGAGTCTTGTTGTGTACAATTTACTGTAGTGTGTACAATTCATCTTGGGCCTTGTCCAAAGAGGTTTAGTTATTAAAATAGCAGAAGAGTTCTTCTAACAAGGAATCACTTGATTTAGTGATCCATTTAGCAATGGCTTATCATAAACCATATTGTAATGTATCTGGCTGATACTGTTTCATTTAGTGACCTTTGCTCTAATAATAACACATTCCATGACTTATTTAAATCAAAATCATTTACTACCTTATTTCTGATACTTTTCTAGTATCTCTCCCTTAAGAAAGAAATCATCAATAAAAATATGTATATTTGCTGGGTTTTATGAGTTTTGACATTTTTGAGCTTTAACATTTGTGATTTTGACTACGAGTGACCTTAGAGGTTCATGGGATATGTGGTATTTTGCAATTTTGCCAAAGCATAATTCTAATTACTGCTAAACACCATGCAGAACAGCATTACTCAGCTAATGATGTAGGCTAACCTCTCAGCAGCCACGGTTTCTTTTCTTACAGTCTTATGCATTTATTCACTTATTCGTTCCACAGATATTTATTGGGCCCCTTCCGTGTGTCAGGTTCTATTATAGGCATGCGAAATTCAGCAGTTATCCAGACAGTATGTAGTGATTGGAAGATGTCAAACTTTATTATGTGCAAATGGCTGCTATGGGTTGAATTGTGTTCCCGCCAAAGACATATGTTGAAGTCTTAACTCTCAGTACCTTGTAACTCAGAAATAGGGTCATTGTAGATGTAGATAGTGAAGGTAAAGTCATTAGAGTAGGTCCTATTCCAATATGACAGATTTCCTTATAAAAGGGAAATTTGAACATAGACATGCATAGGGAGAACATCAGATGGAGATGAAGGCAGAGATCAAGGTGACGATTGTAGAAGTCCAGGAACGCCAAAGATTGCCTGCAGACCACCAGAAGCTAAGTGAGAGGCCCAGAGCAGATTCTCTCTCACAGCCTTCAGAAGGAACAAACCTTGCCTGGGTTTGCAGTCTCCAGAGCGGAGACCATACATTTCCATTGTATAAGCCACCCAGTTTGTGGTATGTGTTATGGCAGCCCTAGCAAACAAATGCAATGGCTGTTCGATGTGAGGAATTAAAAATATTAATAATTTGGATGTGTAAATATGTGTGAAAAAACTTTATGACCTAAGATGAAAGTGTAATTCTGAAGAAAACCAGGAACCTGTATAAATTTATTCAGGAATATTTTTGAATTTGGGCAAAGATCTCAGGACTTAGACTTGAAATGTCAAGGGTCTGTTATACTCATTCTGCAGCCAAAATGTTCAGACTTTCTAGCAGACATTGTCAATTATGATTGAATGTACCATCCTTTAAACTTGGTTTGAAGAAACTCATTTCTCTGAAGGAAGGAAAATTGTCAGGTTTCCATGGAGAGAATATTTTCACCAAGCCTATTATATGCTGTGTGGTCTTTTCCCAATATAATGCAGCAGTCAGGTTTAAGTAATGAAAATAAATACTTAAAACATCTTACCCAAGTTGTGCTTATCCAAGAGCACAAACCACTTAAGAAATCTCATTGAATTCAGCTTGATAGAGGTTTTTTTTTTTTTAAGCTCTTATTCCCACCCTCCCCGCCCCCCCCCCCAAAGTCGAAACTGTATAATGTGCTATTCAGTTTTCTTTCTTTTAAATTTTTTTTTCAACGTTTTTTATTTATTTTTGGGACAGAGAGAGACAGAGCATGAACGGGGGAGGGGCAGAGAGAGAGGGAGACACAGAATCGGAAACAGGCTCCAGGCTCCGAGCCATCAGCCCAGAGCCTGACGCGGGGCTCGAACTCACGGACCGCGAGATCGTGACCTGGCTGAAGTCGGATGCTTAACCGACTGCGCCACCTAGGCGCCTTCTTTCTTTTAAAGTTAGGTATTAGAGAACTCAGAAGTGGGTTTTATTCTTAGTGATTTGGGCCCAGTTTAATATTTTTTAGCAATTTAAATGCTGCTTATTCATTTACAGCTTTTAGAGTCAGCCAGTAGATTAAACATGGAAGACAAGCATGTAAACAAAACCAACACTGACAATGTAAAAGTAAAAGCATATAGAAGGGCATTTGAAATGAGAATAGAGCATTCTTATATGGGGAGAAATCCAGATGCTGTACAACACTGATGGATGAATATGGTTTTAAGTTTATTTCAGTTTTAAAGCCCTATTATTTTTTAAATTTTTTTTTTCAACGTTTATTTATTTTTGGGACAGAGAGAGACAGAGCATGAACGGGGGAGGGGCAGAGAAAGAGGGAGACACAGAATCGGAAACAGGCTCCAGGCTCTGAGCCATCAGCCCAGAGCCTGACGCGGGGCTGGAACTCACGGACCGCGAGATCGTGACCTGGCTGAAGTCGGACGCTTAACCGACTGCGCCACCCAGGCGCCCCAAAAGCCCTATTATTTTTTAATTCTTACATTGAAAACTGGAAGGAGTAAGGGGGACCAGGATAAGTTAAATCCTTATTTTTAGGATGGGGAGTCCAATAAAGTCCAATGAAAATTAGCAGTGTAGATATACATTATGAACATAATCATCAGAATTAAAGACAAATGATTTGAAAGTGCTAATACCTCATTGGAACAGAGGTAAAGTGGGAGCACAGCTTTTTTTTTTTTTTTTTTTTTTTTTTTTTTTTTTGTACA